AATAATAATATTAATAATTCTTTTAAAATAGAACTTAAGATGCACACTTATGTCAGTCCCACAGTCCTAATATCCCCTAACTTCTGAGGTTTTTATCTTTTGCAAGGCTCATAAACTGGCCTCTATACCTTAATTTTTCTTACTTCCCAAACTGACATTTAATCCCACACAACCAATGTCTACCCATTCCAATAACAACACACACCAGACATAGGGGAGCCTCCAAATTATTTTCTTACTCATAGGGCTAAAAACATCTCCTGGGATTAATATAGGAGCAGCAGGATTAAGAACCTCTATTCACTATAAAAACAGCACAGGTTTTTGCAGATATCCAACAGGTCATTGATTTGGTGCTGACTTTATAAATTCAGGTATACTCCTTGATGGCTGTGGCCCTCTAAAATTGATGGGCCCTCTACCATATACTGGCAAAAGAGGGAGGCCTATGTGCCTTCCTCCAGGAAGAAGGCTGTTTCTAGGTCAACAAGTCTGGCATAGTTAGAGATGCAGCAGATAAACTAAAGAAACTGGCTATAAAAAAATAGCTAAAAGAGACCACTCACTCCCCCTGGCATATAGGGCTACTGGGGCACTTCTGGCTGTAGATAACCAAACTCATTGGGCCTTTACTAATGATTCTCTTCTTATAGGTCCCTACATTTTTAATGGCCTCCAAAATTTCCCGATGAAATGGATAAAGATCTTCACCAGACAGTCAACCAGATGGTCCTGAGTAGCTATATGAGACTCCAACCTGAAGGACACCTGAAGAATCACAGAACGACCATACCTGGAAACTATTAAAAAAAACCTTAAACCTTATGACCCCAGCTTCCCTGCCTAGAGACCACCCTTCCCAGCAAGAAGTAACTACAGAAGATTGACCTCCAGTCCTTTGCAATAATAATAAAAAAAAAAAATAGGGAGAATAATGGGATATCCTGGACATCAATGACTCCATTTTGGTTCTGGAATTACTTCTTGGCACAGGGCCAGGGCTTATGAGCTTTCAAGAAATAGAAACTTGGGATGCCCTGTTTCCATGTCCCCCCATCTCCAAGGTCCCTAAATACATGAATCTGTTATTACCCAAATACCTGCACCCAAGGACAATTCTAGCTTACTATACTCCAGGCCATTTCCAGCTTGCTCTTGTTCTCTGTAAAAAAGATATACAAACCCTATTCAAGTAACTCTGGATGTTGCATCACTCTACTGAGAAGCCTGGCAGGCTTCACCTGTCAATAAGCTTTGCTTTCTAAGCATGAGACTCTGTCTTGAGAGATTTCTTTGGGTGTTTGGTCTTAATAGATAGTTCTTACAATGTTGAGGTATATTCCTATTATCCCTAGTTTTTTCTAGTGTTTTGAACATGAAGCGCTATATTTTGTCAAATGCTTTTTCTGCATCTAATGAGATGATCATATGACTCCTGTATTTAAGTCTATTGATGTGATAAATTATGTTTACTGATTTCTGTATGTGGAACCAAGCTTGCAGCCCCCAGAAAACTCCTAGAGTTAATAAATGAATTCAGCAAAGTAGCAGAATATAAAATCAGCACCCATAAATCAAATTCATTTCTATACTTCAGTGATGAATTCTCTGAAAGAGAAATTAGAAAAACTGTCGTATTTGTAATAGCCTCAAAAAAAAAAAGTAAAATACTTGGGAATCAATAAAACAAATGAGGTAAAATAACTCTATGATGAAAAGTACAGAACACTAAAGAAAAAAATTGAAGAAGATCTTAAAAGATGGAAAGATCTTCCATATTCCTGAATAGGCAGAATTAATGTTGTCAAAATGGCCATACTACCAAAAGTGTTATGCAGATTTAATGAAATTCCTATTAAAATCCCAATGACATTCTTCATAGGACTAGAAAAAGCAATCCTAAAATTCATTTGAAAAATAGCCAAAGCAATCCTTAGCAAGAAGAGTGAATCAGGAGGTATCATAGCACCAGACCTTAAACTATAATACAGAGCAACAGTAACAAAAACAGCATGGTATTGACATCAAAATAGACATGTAGACCGATGGTACAGAATAGAAGACACAGAGACTAACTCACATAAATATATCATACTGGACAAAGGCACCAAAAACATGCATTGGAGAAAAGATAGCCTCTTCAACAAATGGTGCTGGGAAAACTGAAAATCCATGAGAGGCAAAATGAAATTAAACCTTTAACTCTCACCCCACACAAAAATCAACTCAAAGTGGATCAAAGACTTAGGCACTAGAACAGAGAACCTGTGCCTAACAGAAGAAAAAGTAGGCTCAAATCTCTACCATGTCAGCTTAGGAACTGACTTTCTTAATGAGAGTCCTCAAGCACAAGAAGTAAAATCAAGAATCAATAAATGGGATGCATTCAAACTAAAAAGCTTCTTCTTAGTAAAGGAAACAATCAATAACATGAAAAGAGAGGCTATAGAATGGGAGAAAATCTTTACCACATGCACTAATCTCACAGAAATATAAAGAACACAAAAACTTAACACCAAAAAAAAAAAAAATCAATAAAAGGGTAAAGGAACTGAATGAACACTTCACAGAAGAAGGAATACAATCAATCAACAAACATGAAAAACTGCTCATCATTTCTAGCAATTAGAGAAATGCAAATCAAATATGACTTTAATATTTCATCTCACTTCAGTCAGAATGTCAATTATCAAGAATACAACAACATAAGTGTTTGCAAGGATGTGGGGAAAAAAGTACACTCATACATTGCTGGTGGGACTGCAAATTGGTGTAACCACTATGGAAAGCAGTACGGAGTTTCGTCAGAAATCTTGGACTGGAACCACCATGTGACCAAGTTATCCCACTCCTTGGTTAACACCCAAAAGACTTAAAATCAACATACTACAGGACCTCAGCCACATCAATGTTTATAGCAGCTCAATCCACAATATCTAAACTATGGGACCAAACTACATGCTCTTCAACAGATGAACGGATAAAGAAAATATGTTATATTCACAATGGAATACTACTCAGCCTAAAATAAGAATGAAATTATGTAATCTGCAGGTAAATGGATGGAGCTGGAGAATATCATGCTAAGAGAAATAAGCCAAACCCAAAAACCCAAAGGCCGCATGTTTTCTCTGATAAGCAGATGCTAATCCATAATGGGGTTTGGGGGTGTGAGGAAGAATGACAGAACTTTGAATTGTGCAGAGGGAAGTGAGGGGAGGGGAGAGGGTGTGAGGATAGGAAGGACAATGGAGTGAGATGGACATTATTACCCGATTACCTGTATGATTATACTACTGGTGTGACTCTACATTATGTTCAGCCAGAGGAAGGAGAAGTTGTGCTCCATTTGTGTATAGTGTGTCAAAATGCATTCTACTATCATTTATAACTAATTAGGACAAATTTAAAAAAACAAAAAAGAAAGTTCTGAAGGTAATACACACACACAAACACACACATGTGTTTGTGTGTATATATATATTATATATATATATATATATATATAATATATATATATATTCTAGAAGAGTCAAAAAGATACAAAGAAGAAAATCAAGACACTTCCATGTCCAGTAGGATATTGGGTATACAAGAAGAAATAACCACTAATTTAGATGGCTGTTGGAGAAGCAGTATTTTCAGGTGAAAACCAAGTTTCAGCCAGGTGCGGTGGCACACACCTATAATCCCAGTGGCTCCATAGGCTGAGGCAGATGGATTGCAAGTTCAAAGCCAGCCTCAGTAAAATCGAGGTGCTAAGCAATTCAGTGAGATCCTGTCTCTAAATACAATACAAAATAGGGCTGGGGATGTGACTCAGTGGTTGAGTGCGCCTGAGCTCAGTCCCCAGTACCCACCCCCCACCACTCAACCCCCCCCCCCCAAAAAGAAAAACCAAGTTTCCACAGGGAAAGAAGAAAAGAGAACATTCATAGTTGAGATACAGGGGATTTTGTGGATAATGGGCCATGAATTCCATTGGACAGAGTGAAAGGGCCTGGGCAACTGGGGAATTTGGGGATCCTGCCTAACATTACTGACATTCCTCATAGTAGAAGGGTCCAGATGGGACATAGTACGAAGATAAACAGGATGGTGCAATTGTACTGCTAGTCTCTTTTATGAGCTGAATTATGTTCCCCCAAAGGAGATATGCTGAAATCCTCACCCTAAGTACTTCTGAACATGTTTCATTTGAAGACAGGGCCTTTCAAGAGAAGATTAAAGTTAAAATGAGGACATTGCAGTAGGCTATAATTCAAATTTGACTGACATCCTTACAAGAAGAAGAAATTCGGTGCATACACACATATTAAAACAAAAACAAAAACAAAAACAAACAAACAAACAAAAAAAAAAAACATGGGAAGACCCAGCAAGAAGGCAGACATTTGCAAGCCAAGGAAACAAAGGCTTCAGAAGCAACCAAATCTGCTGACACCCAGATTTTGGACTTTCAGATTCCAGAGTTGTGCAAAAATAAATTTGTGTGTTTAAACCACCTAGTCAGTTTTTTTTTTTTTTTTTTTTTTTTTTTAATGGCAGCCTTAGCAGACTATCACTTTTCTGTGTAAGTGGACAACAGTTCTGATTACAGTCTCTTTTCTGGAACTGCTATTGATGAGGTAGGGAGGATTCTTTCCTGCAAGTGTGTGAAACTCCTTGGATCCTCTTTCCTATGTGTTCAAGGTCCAGTGTCATTTATTCATTTGCCTATATTATTTTCTTTCCTTTAGTTTATTTATTTATTTTTTTGGTGGTGGTACTGGGGATTAAACACAGAGCTTCTTACATGGTAGGCCAGTGTTCTACCACTGGGATATTTCTTTACCCTTTAGTCTTCCTTTAAGTTATAATTTTTATTGATAATAGCTAGATAACTATATTATATATTCAACAGATATTTATTGAGTGCTTATTATATGCTAAGCACTATTTGAGGTATTAGGAATAGTAGTGAATGAAACAGATAAAATCCCCTTCCTCATAGAGCTTACCTTATAGAGGCTCTAGTTATCTCTGTAGAATGTTATGTTTTCCAGTTGGAATTCCTCTGATCAAATTGTCCATATTCCAATCACTTTTTTTCATTATTCCCAAATTTACCTTATTAATGTCAAACATATAGAATTAAAAACCAATTAGTGGTTCCATGTTGCTTTGTAGATAGAAACCTTATTTACCACTACGGCATTCAAGTTGTGATTTGGCTTTAAATTACTTGTTTGTGACCTACAACAAATTAGGGATTTGTATTCCTTCTGGGAAGCCTGTCCTTTTATTTATTTATTTATTGCACAAGTGATATTTCTGGATTAAAGGACACATACTAAAGAATTCACCATATATTCATTTCCTATAAAATAAATACTCAAAAAAAATTAGTTATTACCCATGTTGCTTACTCTTCTGCTAGAAGGTGTCCACGCCCACAATCCTGGGTTGATACAGTGTGAATGTGGGGTTGGAGAAGGAAAGTCCAACTATATGGGGGATTTCCAGATCTTGTCTTCTAGAAACTGGTTGGGGATTCTGGTTCCTTTTCATTACTTTTTTTGGTAAAGGCAGCTGATTCACGAAACAATAGGCCTGAGTTTTATGTATGTTTTCATTTATTCTCTAGGCCAGAAATGCGAGTATTTTTAAGGAAAGCAAAGCAGTGACCTTTTGGCATATCTTACCATTCAAAGTCTAAGCAGGAAACAAGTAATAATTGAAATAGTTTAACTGAAAGAATATAAGGAAGGACATTTATAGAGGTGTTGCCAAGGCTAAGGGAATTAGCAACAGTGGAAGCCACTATGACCAGGCCTAAAGAGGCCTGAAAGGAAATGTCATTATTAGAGAACCATAGAGACTGAAGCCATGGAAGACAGCCCTCTAGATGGGCCTTGTAGTCATAGAAGGACAGAGCCAAGGCAAATTTTGCTTTAGCATAATCTGCTATTTTTACTTCCCTTCTTATGATTTTTCTGCCAGTGATTATCATTGGTCAGATTCAACAGGAAGTCACACAGCAAGAGGATCCTGGTGATTTATCCATACAAGTTAGCTTCTCAGGGCAGAGCTTGGTAGGGAAGTGGAAACAATAGATTTTGGGAGGAAAACAGAAAATACAGCTATTTTAAATATTATCTATAATTACAGGAGGTTAAAAATAGATGGCAGGACAATTTTAAAAATCCCCATAAACCTACCTTTTCTAATATTATCTCCTTATGTTCACATATTTAACTTACTGAGTATATTTATATTTAACTTGTTTAATATTTAACTTACTGAGTATCCTCTCTGCCTAGCACAGGAAGAGCAATTTTTTTTTTTTTTCTGTAAAGGGTCTAATAGACTTTGGGCTTAAGAGGCAAAATTAAAAAGATGTCATGTTTATATAATCATTTAAAATATAGTCATTTAACTCATGTAGTCACTCAAATTTGGCCTGTGGATCTTACTTTGCCACTTTTTGGCCTTGAAAGTCTTCTCCTAAATTTTTGCTAACCTAAGGTCTGTTTTTCAATGTTAAGTTAAAATAAAACCTCCTTCTCCTAGACTTTAAGCTGTGAGTGACAGAACAGGCCTTTACTCACTTAAGAGAAACTGAGGCTCAATGGAACCAATGTTGAGGGCAGATCCCAGAATCCAGGAGCAGCAGAAACTACAGCTGCTCTTGGGGATATCCTGGTTTGCTTCTGTGTTACCATCAGAACATGTCCTCTTCATTTTCCTTTTTCTTATCTTTGCTTCTGTTTACCATTTGGCTTCATTGTCTATAGTGAAGGCAGACCTCCCCCACAGAAAATACTCGCCTCTCTTTATATAAAAAACCCAAGGAAGTATTCTACAGACCCTATCTTGGTTACACACACACACACACACACACAC